AAAATGTGAGGTTTTGAGAATCTGTTATTTGTCTTAGTACCACTACCTCTGCAATAATACAATTTTTTTAAATGGTTCTAATAAAAGCAATTGTAATTTAAAAGAAATGCATTTTATCTCCAGAAAGCATAAGAACTCTTAATTTAGTTATTGTTTTATACTAATTTATATCAACTAAGAATTTCAATATAAGTATATAAAAACCTTATAGAAAAGTTTAAGATGTAAAAAAAATACAATGTTAATCATTGATCTCAATCTCCAATTAATACTTTGAATTTAAAATGATTAAACCATAGGGTCATTTTTATGGCATACACAAGTTACAGTATTAAAGAGACTCATGCAAGTCCTTGAAATTTGTGCAGTTTTTTTCCTACAATTTTGACAAAGCAAAATTAGTTATTCAAGAATTCTAATTAGTTTTCCATAGTAAACATCTTTTACTTTACACATCACTCTGTACAACAGACTGTAACTTAATAAACTGCTAATGTTTCAATTCCTTTCAATTTGGAGAAAAGTTCACTCAATGTGTTTTTATAGTTTTTTAGTGAACACAATTAAGAAGACACTTAAAGTGGTGATGTATGGGTACTAGGTTCATGTATGATTATGTAAAATAAATGCTAATAATTTAGTCACGTAATATGTACTCTGCTAATCTGTCAATGAAATAGTATGCTTATGAGACTGACTATAGCAGTTACTCTTTTAAGATACCCAACATATTTGTTGATTATTAAAATAAATGATTACACCAAAATACTTACTCAATCATAATTTATGGTATTTTTGAGAATTAGTTTTTCCTGGTTCTTTCTTTCCCAATTCATTATTATTATTTTGTGCAATTTTATATTACAAATGTTGCTTGTTTGAATGTTTGAGTGTGAGATATTTAGTTATAAAGTCCTAGAAAGGTACTAATTTATTGATTTGATAATATACATGATTTGTAAATATTTTGCTATGGTTAATAAATTTGTATTCTTATCCTAGCAATAATGTCATTGACTGACACATAACAAAGTGATAATTTGATAATGTTACATAAAAAAAGGGCAAGATTAAGGAAGGACATACAATTTATCAGGTCATTTTTCATCCACATAAGAATGAGAGTAAAACTGTATAATAATTTGAACAAAATATAGCCCTTAACATCATTATGCCTTTTTACGTAAAATACAAAAAAAAAGTTTAACTGCTCATAACATATTAGGCAAATCATCCTACAAAGTACATAACTTTCAAAACTACTTTTGTGTAAGCCTCCAGTCAAGCTTTCAAAAGCTAAGCTTTTCATTCTACAACTAAAACATAACTTATGGGCTGTCCAAATTTATAATAATTTGAAACACATGGCCTTTCCTTTACAGTCTAACTACATAGTATTATACACAACCTATTACTAATTCTACATGTGAATGCTAGTATTTAAGGTAAAGTTTTGTGATGGAATATATCACTTAGGTCAATTAAAATTTACATACATGTTCTCATTTAATACCTTCATATTTTATGCTAAATGTTCTGTAAAGCACAAAAATCTGTCAATTGTAAAACTGACCTGTGTGCAGATATTATTCCACTAGTTACTATGTATAAAGATAGTGGTAACAAGGATACTAAGTAGTTATCACATCTAATGTAATTTCATGGTCTAGGAAGACAACAGAAAGCTTTAAAACTTGAAGTTAGACTAATGAGAGAGAGAGAGAAATGTTAAGTTAGAGATGTGAAATTCATACGCAAGATATTTGATTTCTTACTAGATATCATTGCAAGTAATTACCTGATTTCTTATTTCTGACTTAACATTTCTTTTAAAAGTGTAACATGTCATTTTGAATAATTTTACAAATTAGGTTTTTTTATTCTGGTTAATTGTTCCTTATTCATTATTATTTCATGAATTTGATATTAAGTGTTGATTTGGATAGTCTCTTGGATAGGTTTCTGTGTGTTTGTGTTTGTAAGTCTTAAATTTCCAAAAGAAACAAATACTGATCCTATTGAAAATATTTCAATTATCCAAACAGGCCTCAATAGTAATTGTTATGGAAAGTAAAAAGTTAGTTTCAAAATCATAAATTATGGTTATGCATTTGCCACACAAGTCTTGGAGCATTAGGGTTATGGTGAAAAGTTTAAGGGGGGGGGGCAGGAATTGATAGTTCAAATGAGCTTATGCAATTAGCTGAAAGTTCAGTTGTGGTGAAATGAGCATTTATATTCAGAACATCCAACTAATCTGCTAAAAAACTGTAGCAATATATATATATACACACAGTACAAATTTTTTTCAAAAGCATTTAATTCATTGCATTATAAAACGAATCGAGTTCTTAATGTAGTTTACCATAAATTTCTGTTCCTAGAATTTGGTTTTATGCTAAAAAAAATTATAGTACATTAAAGAGTTAAATGGCCCATTTTATTTAAAGGCTTTCATTATTACTGATACAAAAATATCTATCATAACCCAAATGGATATACAAAGTTTAGAATTTTATTGGATAATCAACATGGTTTCACTCAGGGAAAATTTTGCTTTAAAAATCTTGTGACATTTTTAGATAAGGTTACTGCTTTTGTAGATGATGGTATGGGTGTATTTTTGGTGTATCTGGATTTTCAGAAAGAATTTGACAAGGTACTGAATAAGAGGCTTATCAAAAAAGTTATTACTGTAGGTGGGGATATGTTGGTTCATTGGATAGGAAACTGACTGGATAGAAAAAAGCCAAGTTTTGTTATAAATGGAGTTCGGTCATACTGGATTAATGTCACATGTGGGTACTTCAGGGCTCGGTGTTAGGACCTTTCCTATTTTTGATTTACATCAAAGACAAAGGAAGGAATGGTCAATAGATTATTGCAATTTGCTTATATTAATTTTGGGTGTTGCTGGCTGTGAGGAGGAGGAGGTTGCTTCTTTACAAAAGGGTTTGGATTATTTGGAAAGTTGGAAAAGAATATGGCAGTTGGCCTTTGGTTATAATAAACAAGCTGAGGTACCTGTCCTTTGTCCGGGTTATGAACTTAAAAAAATGTGGGTTGGATGCTATGATAAATAACACAAGAATCCTAATTTTCACACAATGTATTTATAACATATTATTACAGTATTCATTATTACTTCACCAAAAGGTTTTGTATAAGCTTTAAAAACTCAATATATATATATATATATATATATATATACTTAAGACACGGCATACACTGTTCGATGGTCAGGGTGACTTTGTAAGAAGAGATAGCGGCAGTAAGGATGCTTTCTGTTACCTGCTTTTAATGCTCAGCTATTATGTCCTTTTACAGTGTTTCCCATGATTAATTAATTGACGGTCATTGGCCACAGAAATGTCTTATGGGCTGAAGTTGAAAGGTCATGGGTCAAAGTAGAAAATAGGTATAACTCAAGAAACATCTCTTCACATCATCCTTATGGTGGCTTTTGGAGTAGAAAGTTTAGCTGAGTTTATGTAGTATTGCAGTAGTAGCAGCAATTTTTTCATTGCATTCCTCAATAGTGCTAGTGCACTCCGAGATATACAAGATGTTTGTGTGCCCTCCCCGTGTGTGTGTGTGTGTGTGTGTGTGTGTGTATGTGTATGTTATAGAAATTTTAATAATTTTTGTGTAAGGATGTGGTACCATCTATTAATGTAGTTAATGTTACCTTACATTAAAGATAATAAATGCTCAATAACAGCAATAATTGGTGTGGAGGGGGTTGTAAACCTCCATTAACATGCCTCTTGTTCCAAACTATGATCTCACAAAGTTTGGTTAAGATTGACCCAGCAAATTAGGAGTAGTTATATAGTGGGCAAACAGACAGATACACAGATTTTGTTGCTTCATATATATGGAAAATGCAAGGTATTGATGGATTAACCTTAAAAACATTATGGAAGAAAATGAGCTCTGTTACAATTGATTAATCTCTTAATCCATCCTAGCAATATGTTGTTGCTAGGTGCAGAGCAAATAAAGTTTTGGTTGTATCTATACAAATACTGAATACAAATCTAAAGAAGTTACAATGTTATTACACAGGTTATTGGTTAGGCCACATTTGGAGTATTGTATTCAGTCTTGGGCTCTTTATCTTAGAGAGGACACTAAAATGTTGGAAAGAGTTCAGATTAGGTCTACTAGGACACCTGGATGAAAAGGTTGTTATATGAGGATAGGTTATGAACTCTGAAATTGTGTTCTCTTGATTGAGATGTTTAAGATTGTTAAGGGAATTGATAGTATTACAGATGCATTTTTTTTTTTTACTTAACGGTGAGAATGGTAAGACTAGGGAATTACAGATTTTGGCAGGGTAGGAGTCAGCTTCAGCTAAAATAAGACTTTTTTTTTTTTTGACAGGGTGGTTTGCCTTCAAATGGTAGATGCAGTTAATTAATGTAAGGGTGTTTAAAGTAAGCTTTTGTAAATTCTTGAATGATAAGATCTGGCTTTGAGCAGTTATTTTTAAGTTTAGTATAATGGAAGACCTAGATTAACCAACAGATCACATGTTGTCCCTAAATTTATGTATGTATGTACAAAGCTTTCCATCTTCCATAATATTAGTAAATTCCATACACTTGTAAGTGTGGTGTTTTTCACTTGGTAATAATTCTCCTAGTCATTAATTTAGGTGTGAGTTTTAGTTGGAATACAAACATTTCTTTTCAGCTAACATGGTCAAGTAATAAAAGTTTGCAAGTCATTAATATTTTACACCTTTAAGTTAGATATCTATCTTTTTATCTGACAACAATAAAAAGCATTAATTTGACTCATTACCTCTGCATCTCATACGATGTTATGATCACTACTATAGTGCACAATTACTTCCTCAGACTGATCAGTAGTAAGAGTAAGGACTAAAAAATAATTTTCCAGAGAGACCCGAACTCGAGTGCTTTCGAATAGTTCAGGAAGAAAAATAGTGAACTATTCGAAAGCGCCGAATTCTGGGCCTCTTTTGAAAATCATTACAACTTTTGTATGTGATCCTGTGTGCTAACTTCTTAATCAGAATTTACTCTAATAAAATGGTATTCTATTCTTAAAATGTGTGGGTTATTTTGTGCTCCATAATCGCACTTCATCACATTAATGATTAAATAATTGAAACTGCCGTTACACCGGTAATACTTAATGAAAAAATTGTAGAATTAAAGAGAAAAATGAAGATTTTTAATATTTAATAATAATACTAGCATGTGAACTTAAAGTAGTGTATTTCATGTGTATATTTTTCTACAAAGATATTCATTTCAGTTGGTCCTAGGAAAACACTCAACCATTGTAGTTGTAACATAATATGATAAAAATCAGATAAAAGACTTTTAAAAGTAGTATTATTCACCGCCTCCAATATCACTTATTAGCACAATTAGGTTTTCTTGTTAACCACATATCTTTCACATGATTTAAATCCACTGCAGCAAATACTTACATATTTGAAAAAATAGATATTGACCAAAGCGAGTAATGCCTGTTATTCCTATAAGATGTAAGTCACAGAACTTTTCATCTGTTTCCGAACGTGAACTGTTCTCTACAACTGATAAAATCTCTATACTATTCATGTCTATCCTCACGTAAGTTTCACTGTGAAACGGTATTCGATTATTAGTAACAACCGTTATGAAACACAAGATCAGACAATCGCAATAAGAGAAATATTTCATTAAAAATATATATTGAGAAGTTAAGAAAATGTTTAAACTAAACCTGCTCCCCAGTAACACAGCAGCATGTCTGTGGATTTACAACGCTGGTGTTCGTGTTTCGATACCCATGGTGGTCAGATCACAGATAGCCCATTGGGTAGTTTTGTGCTTAACTTTAAAAAATATATTTTTTTACTAAAAGTTCCCTAAAATTTGATATAATAATTTACTGTCATGTCTTTCACGAAACTCCTATCAACGAGTACATTTGCTAACCTTAGATAGTTGATTTGTACGTTTTGATAACGTTATAATTTTTGTAAGTGTACAACAGTGTCCATTTTCTTTTGTCGCTTTAGTAGTGTTAAGTCTCCGTTCGTTAGTTAATTTTCCGTAACTTCGATCCGACGAAACTTTAGCGACACAAGTCCTTTCTTAAATAAAACTGATTTATTCTTTCTGAATATAACTTTGTGATACACTTAATTTCAACAGTCACGCATTCACAAACGCTATAACAACGAACGCTCACGTGCAATACTCCGTTCAATTACACACTCTCTGACTGCAGTTCAATTACTCAATACCTCTGTTGTCCCGTCACGTTGTAACCATCTTATATATACCAGACCACCCCCAATCCAGCAACCTCCCGACAATTCACGAAGGTTCGAGAAAGAAGTGGCGTGATACTGGTCACGTGACCTCGCTTACGCAACACTTCCCCCTCCTTAGTATTGTTCGTCCCGAACAATAGCCACTTTCATTAAACCAATAACAATTAACAATAACTTAATTAAATATATAGAATAACAAACACAAAATTACAATTCAACAAAGTCTCTTAATTTTACAGGACGTATCTTCTTCCGTACTGGTCTCCGTCT